CCGTATACCACACCGATGAAATTCATGGCATAATATCAGACGATCGATGGATGACTAAATGTGAGCTAGCTGGAGCATAGGCATTTCAACCGAATGGGTACTTAACAATGTGCAATAATATTTTGGAATGTGGAAATTCTCTCCCAGGTGGATTGGTATCTGTCGACAAGAAACATAATCGTCAGACCGTTGCAGGGAACTTATTTGACATCAATTAGAAGGGTATTATGTCGTTTTGTAACCCTGAATTCATTTTACTAAGAGTAAAAACTAACGATTTATCGAAACAGTGGACAGCTCCTGGAGAATCAAAGCCGGAGAAAGCCAATCTAAAGATAAAGCAACCACATTTGTTTGGTAAGAAAATAATTTCTAACCAAGACACCGCAATAACCAAACCCAATGAACTGCGTTCTCAATTCCCCTTTCACTGTATTCTCCTCATTGAGCCTAATTAGACTATAATTTTTTCTCAAAATTAGAGAAATGCCTCTGTAGAACATGATTTGATACAGGGAAAGAGATCTTCCTGAAAATTGAGGATCATTTTAAGGACTTTCAGACGTCATTTCATTCGGAGAGAAATGAAACTAGTGTAACAAGCCTCGATCCTAATGAAAAAGGTGTTATTCCTGAAGCTGGGATTTGAATGCCGGAGGTCATTGGAGAGGGATGCTTTGTAAAAGAATGTTCAACTGAGAATTGTATAATATATTTTCTTCGACAATGTAGACGGATGTGAAAATAATCACTACAAGCTTGTGGCCCAGCATAATACTTTTGGTTTACAGTGGTAAGATAGGTAACTTAGGTTGGTTGCAAAATCATGAATTATTCACGGTTTACCATTCAGCATCCGAGTTGTACCTTTTATCGACTCTTACAGACTTAGTTTGGTTTCTGGTCTCAATGTCTGGTACGAATATATGAGAAAAGATCTTACTTGTCATGGAGTGTACGGAAATCGGAGTCGAGCTACCAGCAATACGATATAGCTTCTTCGTTAACGGTTCAGCCAAACAGTAGCACTGTTTCCCAAAGATAGCCTACTCCTGGAGTGGTATAAATGTAATCTTTTCAACAATGATGACATTTCAGGATGATTTCCGTTTTAGGTTGCCGGAGGCAGAATAAGAAAGAAAAAACGTGATTATTTTCAACCTTCCCGAAAACGGAAATAACAGAGAAGATAAATTAGCCTGCACCGAAATCATTAAATATATGAATCCTAACATTGGCCCAGATGATGTGAACATGTTTCGAATTGGGAGAATAAATGAAAACTACACTAAACCTAGGTCTGTAAAAATCGCTTTTTCTTTGGCTAAGAAGGCGAATTATATAATATATAATAACAAAATTATAAAATCCAAAAACAAATAACTTTCACAAATCTATCTCTGGAGCTGATTTACATATCATTGCCATCTCAGAATCCTTAGATAGCAATCCTGAGGTCACAAGTCGTTCCAATTTATTGCTAACAGTGGTGCCCCTCAAGGAAGCAATTTAGCACCTCTTTTATTTTCACTCTTCATTAACGACATAGGAAATAATCTATCGAGTAATTTCCTACTAATTTGCAAATGTATTGAAAATCTTCCGGCCCATTAAATCAGAGGAGGACTGCTTAATCTTACAAAAAGACTTTGACTTTTTGTACCTTTAGTGTACCGAAAATAATCTTCCCCTCAACACAAACAAATGTAAATACTCGAAACACACCCTTAAACATAATGTTATTTACCACTAATCAATAGGATCTTGGTGTCACTTCCGACCCTAAACTGAATTTCTCCATACACTATGTCACAATAACATGCTCAGCCAAACGGATGCTAGGACTCATCTATCGTCATTGTAAGAACTTTCGTAGTAGATACAGTTTTTTAACTCTTTTTAATGCATACGTCAAATCTCGGTTGGAATATGCCTCCCTTGTACGGTCACCCATATGCAATGTCCACATAAACAAAATCGAGTCCATACAAAGAGGCTTCATGAAATATATTACTTACAAGCTAGAAGGAACTTACCCTGAATAAGGCATCGACAACCATATACTACTAAATAAATTCAGTCTATTATCCCTTCAGAACCGGAGAACCTACTACTATATAATTTTCATTTATAAACTAGTGAATAATCTGATTGACTGTCCCAAACTACTCTCCCACTTTAACTTTCATGTTACACGAATTGATTCTAGAAATGAACTGACTTTTACCTACCAAGTTCTAGAACAAACATATTACTCAAGTCACCAGTTGTTGCAATGATCAAACTCCACAATCAACTCTGTGGAAAATTCGCAATCTATTATGAACCTATTGGTCAAGCTAAGAACCATGTTGAGAAACTTTTACACTCTAGTCAAAATATATAAGCCTAACTTGAAAGTTACTCTACCATGTGATTACTTACTCATTACTACTACTGTATTACAGCTTATTATGTTTTTTTGTAATGCACCTGAACTTTGTTTTTACTTGTTAGCTCTACGACCGAGTTATGTTTTTTTCAATTACTCTTCTAGCTTGCTGCACTCAAGTTTTCACCTAATTTTTTGCTTAACTCTCCAGAATGTTTCTTTTGTTTTGTTTACTCTCTTCAGGTGTTTGTAGTTGATAATTTTAGCCCTGCGTAGGTCGCGTGTTGTTGTGAATCATAGGGGGTCGCGCGGATCTCACAGAGGTATGAACTTAAAAATGATATTCTATCGAACTACTGTCGTATTAATGAAAACAAAAACAAATATGAGGTACTTTTATTGAATTAGAAAAAGTCAACATAAATTAATAAATTCTTATATAAACATAAAAGCAAACCTTAACCTTATAATAAAATAAAAAAGTGAACCTTTTTTCTTCTTGAAGATTAGAATGGAATCGTGACACTGGTCTTGCCGAAAAAAAAAAATTGTGTACTTGTACTCATCGTATGACGATAATTGATCAAAAAATGCATGTGTTTTCGTTTTCGAAAGTTCAAATAGGTGCTGATGAAGTGTTGGAATGAAGTGTTTTCGAGGAATACATTTCAAAAATTTTAGATTTTCATATGAGTGGAATTTCATAGCAATTCTCCTCCATTCAAACAGTTGTGTTGTGAATGACATCTGCTCCTATTCCATAAAGAAATTTTGGAGATTAGACTAAATGGAAAAAGTTTTTCTCGTGTGACTCAATATCATCATGAAAGTAGTTGTTTCGACAGCACATTTTTCAGTTTCTATCAGAAATTTTCTGTTACTACTTTTCTGTAGTAGAGATGTTAATTCAGAACCGAATATATATTTTAATTAAAATATGTAATGGAATTGACCAATATTTGATTACTATTTTTTCACATTACAAATAGAGAACTTGAATTCAATGTTTTCTGATCAGTGGATTGGAGGAGAAGGATCTATTCCCTGGCCGCCAAGGTCACCAGACCTAACACTAATGGACATTTGTATATGGAAAACAGTGAAATGGAAGGTTTACCTCACTGCCAATACTACATACAGTGCCATCTCCAAAGTATGCCCCATATGGGAAACGTATTTATTAAGGGTTTTTCGACAAAAAGTTATTGTTGATAAAAGTTTGTGCATCCCCTAAACCTGAACATGCACCAACAATATACAGTATATATGAGGATATACGAGGAGCCTTCAAATATTTGATTTTGTGACAGGAGTAAAGTACTCTTATTTTGAAAAATTTCGGGAAATATCATTCAGAAAAGTTATTCAGCATCGAAAAATACATTTAGGTTTGAGGTCATGACCATCCAGGCTGGGTTTTATTGTTTTACCATTTTTTTTTAATAGGGACTACGAAAAAAATTTGCTAAAACGATAAATAGAAAGCATCCTGTATACAACGGTCCATTTTGAAAGCCTGTAATATTACAAATTGCACAACTATNNNNTTCACCAAGTGTAACGAATCAGGCGTGTATGTAAATATTATTCGAGATATAAGAAATGGCGATTTTATTTTCCACATATGAGACATAAACATATTCAGTTTATTTTTGTTTACGTATTGGCATTGGCAGTGGGGGTGCCCCAGTTGGAATAATAGAAAATTCTTTCTTATTGCATATCTACAACATAAAACGAACCCATATACAGAATTTTGTTCCAAACTTGCTAAATATTGATAGAAGAAACGTTGTACGAGCATCACTCAGGATGACGTCTACGACGATCCAAATTTGCTTAAAAGGGTCATGAAAGAGCCCAGGAGAGCCAAGGCCAAAGAAAGCACACCAAGTTCGAGCAAATGACATGACCATGATGACCATGACATAGTACATCAGGAGTTCTTGTCACATGGTGGTAAGACCAATAAGTAGTACTATCTTGAAGTTATGCGTCGCTTGAGAAGCAATACTAAAAAAAATGCCATCCATGGCTTTTGCATCACGATAATTCACCTGCTCACTCGTCATTGCTTGTTCGTATATGTTTGGCCGAAAACAATACTGTAATAATGCCTCAGCCACCGTATTCACCAGATTTGGCACCTTGCCACTTTTCTCTGTTCCCAAGATTGAAGAGACACCTGAAAGAACGGCGTTTCGCGACGATTGAATAGATAAAAACCTAATCGGTGAGAACATACCAAAAAGTGCATATGAGAACTACTTCAAGAATTGGAAAAACGCTGGTACAAGTGTATTATATCTGAGAAGGGCTACTTTGGATGGAAGAAAATGGAAATTGATATGAATGGGAAATATTCGCGCATTTCTTGTATAGATTCCATTTGTATAAACATTCATTTTCCACGAGAGTTCGATCAATCATTGAGGCCAAAATGTTATTTTTGTTAATAGTTTCGTTTCAACAAGGTGAGCAAAATGATCCTGAGATTTGAAAGTGGACAAGGTATCCTGCTGTCAAGAAGTCACTAGAACCATTATTACTATATTGTTAGAATTACTACAAGCGGAACAAAAACTTCCGGCAGAAAATAATTTTCAAACAACAAAGGACACATACTCACCGAGTTCTTGCGGTTTTTTATTTGGAATCCACTGGTATATAGGAGTGGGTTTACCATTAAAAAACCACTTGACTACGAGTCCTTCTTCCAAAGACTCTTCCAATGTGTAGTCGCAATCTAAGACAACAGGATCTCCTAATTGAGCTATTTCCGGCACTTGCAGTCTGTTGATCTTCACCGTAACGACCATTTCTAATAACCCTAGAACAATAGAAATATGTGCAGTAAATAGATATACCGTGTCGAATCTTTATACTATTTAATTATCGAATACACAAGAAGTTTCATGTCATTTTCAACTGGAATATGCTGCCTACGTATAGGTTCTGATTCAATTCTCATCAATTGTGGCAACGTTTTTATATAATTATGGAAATTGAACTCCATAAAAGTTCAAACATTTTTGCTACGAATATTTTTCATTCGAATGTTTTGACCTCCAGAGTAAATAAAAATGATACTGGATATCAAAATGTAAATGGTGCATAGCTATGCCAGGAAGTCGAAGTAAATTGTTGACAAACTGAATTGCCTTCAAAAATCAGATGATTGGAAGCAATCCTGAAAAGGTCAGGAAGTCTTTTTTTTTTTCAAAATAAATAAGTTTGGTTGAAATTATTCTTTCCATGGATTTGGAAATGTTTCTCCGAAAACGGTGATAAATGATATTATTGATACAATCTTATTGAATCTTATTATAAATTTGATGACGGAACCAAACATCTATTTCAAATGAGTATCAACATAATGGGCTCGTTTCATGCTATGAAAAACGATACTGGTTTGCTTATAGACTGATCGAGTTAGGGGTATATTATACTTATCAAGCCTAATCGGTCCCAAGATCTCTTTATATTTGCAGAAAAAAGAACAATTCGAAAAGCAAGAATTTAAATTGGCCGCGTGTCTGTTGACCAATAAAATTGATCGTGTCCAGAGCGGAGTTGCCAAGTGTATTGGTTTTTAATATCCAATCAGATTTCTGATGATCCAATTTGTTGTCATTGTTGTCAACTCGGTGTGAATACAACTGTTAAATTTATCTAATTAAAGAACGTTTTTTGT